GCCCTTAGTTAAAACCAACCTTCACTTTGAACTATACACCGTATAGTATAAATTCTTTAAAAAGAAATTTTGCAAATAAAACTCTGTTCAGATCGTCTTAAAATTATGGTAAACTGTATCATGGGGAAACAACAACAAAAACAAGACTCATTCACAGTGTTGGATCCTTTCATTCTTTGAAAGCATAGCATCAGTTGCTCTATTGACGTTTAGATTTAGTTTCTTTCATGTTATGTATGCAAACAATTTTAGTGCTCACAACAAGTGAGGGCTTTGAGAAAGAAGGCCTGATTCTGTCCTCCTTTACACTGGTTTTATGCCAAAAATTAACCACTACAGTGGAATTGTGTTTCACTTATTCCAGCATTAATGAGTTGAGATCTGGGCCACCCTGTGGGAAAGTGCTATGCAACCATCTCCATGCTACTTTAATACCGATTCAATGTACTCTTCCTCCCCCTCCCCTTTGAGCATCTCTTATGCAAATCAAGCTAAGTTGATTTCTAGTGATCTAATTTGTAATGGAGAGTAGGATAAAAATCAAAATGTGTCCTTAAAATGCAGTTTGAACTCCAGTTGCCTGACTGGCTTCTCATCCATCCCACTTCAGTGTCACAATCAGGACCCATATCAACCAAGATAGTCTCTAGAGTTATCCTCTGTATCTGTGGGGGTCTCCACAGTAGTGCAGGGGTCTACTTGTGTTTTGTAACGTCTAGGATCAGAACCCTTAGTGTTATACACATGTACTTTTTGTATTTAATATCAGCATTTCAAATATACTTAAGTGGTCACCAGTGGTTGAAATACAGCCGATGTGTAAAACGGAAGACTACTGATCTTAATGAATTGTAAGTTAACAAAAATAAATTGGTTTTGCGTACACAACACTAAAGTAATAACATTAGCTTCCCAACATAAATATGCTTTAAGTCTTCCCGATCTACCTGAAGTACCGAGTAAAACAGACAGAGAGGGTCAGATCATCAGCTGGCATAAATTGGCATTTGACATCCAACTATGGCTCTGGCCCAGCAGGAATTACAGAATCAAAGCATGGGGTGTAACTTCTAACATTTGAGTATCATGTTTTACAGGAAAATATAAAATGTAAATTGCAGACTATTCACTGTTATAAGTTAATTGGGATGGTCATTTTAGAGCTCATAAATTACTCCTAATGACTCAATCCACATGCTCTATCATGACAAGTTTATTTAATGATACTTACTATAATGAACTAGAACAGTACATATTGTGGTTGCTTTCTGCTTCACTGATAGATTATTGCTACTTTTCATCCACACAGAGTTGCCCCTTTATTCTCTCTTATAACCTTCATTAGTATGCCATCTTTAATATTACGAACCAGGATTAATTTTCTCCAAATTGATGGTCATTTAAGCTTCCAATATTCTTCCTACAACATGTTCTCATCTAATTTACTGTATTAGTTTGTAACATTTTGCATTGTCCTCTATTGCAAATGCAATGTGTAATACTAGAAGTTTCAC